AATCACCTATTCTTTTACTCGATTGACAAACAGAATGCATTTGTTATTTTCTAAACATAGTACGATGGACCACTGCTGCTACGAGCCAAACTGGTTTCTCAGGTGCCGTAGGCAGTGTCACACCACCAAGGACAACACATTTGTATTCACACTTTATTTGGCTGAATTCCAGCTCGTAGTGTTCAAATAAAACCCAATTTCAATGCCAAGCAATAAAAGGCCATTTTAAGGATTTTTCATCAAGTTCGTGAAATACCCATTCCATAGGCTCATGTCCTGATACAGTAAAACTAACACTCTTATTCAGTAGTGCAATTGTTGGCTTGGCACCACGTTGCTGTACTGCAATTCAAATGATATAATGTAAAAAAAAACTTCAGACGTCTTAAGGCTGTCGTAGTGCGACTATTACTCCGAGTATTTTAGTTATTCACGGCTTGATAACACCAAGTTCCATGGGCCCGTACATCGAATGTTATTAACATGAACCGTTTCGAAAGGGAAACAAAGGCATAAAAAACAAACATGTCCGTGTTCATACGCGAGATAAATTATTACTGCCTTGGGGAAATATCCATTTGTTAATAAGTAATAGATTGTCAAGCTTATGTATCATTCACAACACAACGGGGGTGCCTTTTCAAACGAGAGGTTGGAATTTGAAGCCTATAACGACGTTTAAGAAGCCCACTGTTAAACCAAAACGAGCAAAAATCTCGACCATATAAAATCTAACACAACTCGATAGACATTCAACAGTGATATAATTGTATCCTCTTCCTTCCCAGTCGTCTTTAAAATTGGGACACATAAGTGAGACAATCCGTGTTTTTTCCATCTAAGTTAAAAGACATACATGTTAATTATGCTACATTATTTCATTATTACATGCATGTATTGCATTGTTTTCAAACGCTTTATTTAGGATTTCCGTTTGTTATTCCGTAGCTTATTACCTAGGTCTCCGTCGGAGAAAAAACTAACTGGAGTATTTTAATCCCCGTATATTCCCAATACAATCGCGATCTTATTAATTAACAGCCGATGCTAAAACAAAGGCCTCTCCCGCCTTTACCGCAACACACAACCATAAACAAAAGCCCGCGTGACGTCACCGCGTCGCGGAAGCGCGATGACGTAACCGCCGGTAACACCACACGCCTCCGCCGCTGCGCGATTGCGTCACGCCCAACAGGCGAACGGCGACCCGGTTCTGCGTGACGTCACGCGGCGGACGTGCGGTGGGGGAGGGGCCTGCGCGATGACGTCACCGCGCACGGGGACATGGCGGACAATTTCGCGCGGGGCTTTTTTTCGCCCTAACGCCGCCGCTTTTCTTGAAAAAGCCCTCGCGCCTCGCCGCTCCGCCGCCGACGTTTTTACTCGGCGCGAACAAACGTCGAGTTAATCGCTCGTTTACCCCCCCCCGCCACCCCACCAAAAAACACCGCCAGCGCGAAAGGCCGATTCTTCCTCGCACGTCGAGCGAACTTGTGCAAGTAAGCGATAGAAACTTGACGTTTAAGAGAAAGCGGCCAAAGCGAGGGGAGCAAAAAAACGACGGCCTGACGAGAGATAACACAAAGGGGGCCTCGACAACCACAGACGGCCACCGCGACGAATAACCACACTTACAAGAACGACGCGACGGATAAAAAAAACACAACGCGCGCTCGCGCGTCGGATAGAAGAGGCGGAGACGGTGAGTATGTTTGTTCGTACTTACCGGGCGATGTGTGAGACGGAAGGCGGCTGGGAGAGGAGGTTAGCCCGGTCGCTGCTGCCTGTGCTGCTGCTGCTTCTTCTTCCCGCGGTGAAATGGCGGCGGCGTCGCCCCGCCCCCGGCGTGACGTCACCAACGGTCCCCGCGTTTCCAGAAACGGATTTGGGAAAGTTTTGAAATCGGCGAACAGGCCCCGGGGGCTCAGATGTCATTATTATTAGTGGTGGTGGTGACTCGGTGCTTTGGTTAAATTACTCATTGCTTTTGTAGGAGTTTTCACGAGACTTCGTGGTGGTGGTGGTGACTCATTGTTTTGTTTAAATTAGTCATTGCTTTTATGGGATTTTTCACGAGATATCGTGGTGGTGGTTGGTGACTCATTTTTTTGTTTAAATTAGTCATTGCTTTTATGGGATTTTTCACGAAATATCGTGGTGACTCATTGTTTTGTTTAAATTAGTTTATTTCTTTTATGGGAGTTATTGAGGGATCCCCGTGCTGTTTGGGTGTACTGTAATGCTTTTTGGGGGGTTTATAACATTTTATTTTTGTGTGCATTTTTTTGTTGTACATACGCAAAACAATTGGTCTCTTCTAGATAGATAATTAAAATATTGGGACGTGGACATATAGCAAGTACTATATCGTTTCATTATAGGGGAATCTTGAATGTCTTTATTTCTGTTTGAAAATAAAGAAAGATTGGCCTTATTCTATTGGTCGAATGAAACATACATAACAATTAGCAAATATATCGGTAAGCCGTGCTGTATAATCAATAACGTTGTCCTTTGCATGTACAGGTATCCCTCGATTTACGGACGAAATTTCGCGTAAACGGAAATTGACAAATTGGCGGGGCACGTTTCGATTAACGCGAAATCGAATTTCCGCGTTCACGAAATTTCACCACGACACGTGTCATCCACGTGACAAAGAGCTTCATAGCTCATCGGATTCCTCCTCCAGTCTCAATACAGATTCTGATTGGCGACAGTGTAACGCTATCCCCCTACAGCGCAACGTTCACGCCGGTCATTCCAACATGCAGCAGTTCTTTTGAAAAGGTTAATTAGTTTTGCTTTAAATTTATTAAGTAGTCTCGATATGTTTTTTTATATTGTCAAAAGTAATACAGTTGTATATTTTTTTTATTTAAAGCTTTCGTGACTGCAGGGATTCATATTCTTGGTTCTTTCGTTAAAGTCACCACGTAGAAGGGAAACGATAAAATAATAAAAATACAAAACAATAAAATCCTCACGACGTTTCGACTGCAACACAAGCAATCATCATCAGGTGTGAAAACCACAACAAGAAAATTTGAAAAAAGCGTCCATCTGAACAAACTGTTAAATCGCTCTCCGTGGTACTAACGTTGAAACAAAAACCGCCACTTTTTTCAAATTTTCTTGCTGTGGTTTTCACACCTGATGATGATTGCTTGTGTTGCAGTCGAAACGTCGTGAGAATTTTATTGTTTTATATTTTTATTATTTCATTGTTTCCCTTCTACGTGACTTTGCCGAAAGAACCAATAATATAGAGTTGTATATGTTTAGGTGAGTAGAGATTTAATGACAAAACACTATCTTAATTTTTTGTCGTAATGGGAAAAGCCACGACATTTCGTTTTGTGCGTGTTTTTTTAATGAACGCATCCCTTTCGTAAATCGAGGGATATCTGTACTGTGCCCACTTATATTTGTATTGTGTTCACAATTTTCTCCTTAACTTGACCAGTGGTTACCTAAAACATGCTATTATTACACGCTTTCATTTAACTCTGTTGTCGTATCCTCAAATCTTAACTCAATTTTTACCCACTTCCCAATGTGGTATCGACTGCAAACTTGGTATACTTATGTCATACTGATGACAATACTATCTTCTATTAAATATATATTTAAACATTATTTTGTATATGTTATGTTTCGGCTTGGGTCAAATTGCCCACGGTCCCGTATGGCAAGCTTCGGGGCCACTTCCTGGAGTCGTGGAGTTCTTCCATTACTAGTACGGTACATTTCATAAGAGAGCGTTTTTAAATGTTACTTGTTTTTTTAGGTTGACAAAGTAGAGTGGCTGACAGTGTAACGTCACCGACACATGTATTTATTGTGCATGAGCCGTGCCCATTGCACCCTTGGGGCCTCGGTGCTTTTTTGCCATGCCCTGGCAACTCGTGTGAGTGTGTGTGTCCTCCAGAGCGAGGTTCCACAGGCGTCGTCTGGGACTGGAACACTGGACTGGCGAGCAAGTGAATTCAATCGTGGCGTGTTTGTTGTGGAAAATTGTCCTTTGCTTTTTCATTGTTGCCCCGATGCACTGTGCCATGCAGGATTCCACATTCACGACCCACACTCGGCATGTTTAGCCGTGGTGGTTTTGGTGTTAATAGGTGTTCTTGCAGCAGCAGAGCATGCTTGTCTGTATTCTGTCCGGGATGTGCGCTAGAGGCACCGTGCGAGTGGATAAAGCGGAATAGAAGTTGGGGTGGGTAACACTTGCACATTCTCCACCACAGGTAGTTATGTAACGAGATTTTAAGAGATTACATTTTTTTATGCAGCGTCAATTGTTTAACATAATTGCAACCATGGGATAATTGTATTATCTTCAAAGGAATACTATACTTAGAAATGTTTGTATCGTTGAGGAAATGTATAGCCATCATTAGACCTCCTTTGCCAGTACCAAAATGTAATAATAGGGTTTTTCCCCTTTTTTCTGGCAACAAAACTGAAACCTTTTTACAAGGATTCATGTCTCGATTAACCACAATACCTGCAGTCAAAATGCAAACAAAAAACATACTATGATAATATATGCATTGTCCTTGAAACTGATTATCAGTCCTTGAAACTGATTATCATAGTATGTTTTTTTAGTTTAACACGTAGGCTTTCGCGGCCAATATTATTATGAATAGTATGTTTTTTGTTTGCATTTTGACTGCAGGTATTGTGGTTAATGCAGACATGAATCCTTGTAAAAAGGTTTCAGTTTTTTTGCCAGAAAAAAGGGGGAAAACCCTATTATATGAAATGTATAGTATTACAATGCATTTAAATTAATTTATTTCTGCATTTGCGTGGTTAATATGCATGTCACCGCTCCATATTTATTCCCTGCTCAATTCTACAACATGTAAAGTCTACAGTTAACCATGTTTTATTTGGTCTTGGATACTTTAAACAACTTGAGATTGAATTAGAAAACGAACACGAATCACAATGTTCAAAACAAAATATCAACTCATCTCAAAAAGCCACAATTTCATTTATCATAACTTAAGTAATTTTATTGAGCACTGCATATCTCAAATATTCCACAGGGCAATATTTGCAAAATGTACCTATCGAAAACATTTGAGGTGTGGAGTGTATTCAGAAGCTGCGTGTAAGGTGTCTATACATAGGTGTTAAGACAAAATCCCTGCCGAGTACAGTAGCTGTACTGTTATACAGTAGACGACACTGCTCATTTAAATGGCTCCGTTGTAATATGGGGAACCAAGTGTCGGATTATTTTTTAGCAGTGTGAAATGCAATGCACGACGACTCCTCCACTGCAGCAGCATACTTGAAATTGGTTTTGGCTAATCAACGTTGATATAAATGGTGCAATGTATGCTCAATAAATAAAACGTGTTGTCAAATATCAGACTGGACCAGTCCCGAATGGTTTTTGAAACTGCTAAATGTTTATATGTATTGAAGACTCGGAATGCATTGTGTTTACTGCCAATACCAATTAGGACATGTATGCATGCCATTACTACAAAACTTCCTTAGTTTGGGACAATGATTAGCCAAAGTTAAACCCCTGCAACGCGTGTTTTCAGTTATTTGCTTTTTCGAAGGAACAGTTATCAGTGTTAAGCCCAACAATTGAAAACTATTAAAAAACATACTTTAGAACAGTAAACACAACAAAGTCTTGCGTCTGATTCAATGCATTCTATCAAGATGGGTTTATTTTAGACCAATTTTCGAAGTAAAGTCTGCGTGAATTAAACGATACCATTGACAACATACCTACCCCCAAGTGAAATTTATAATCAATAAAAAAAACACCAATGTCTCCTCCCCAGTTTCAACAAAGTGATAGATGCGTATGCAGAGGAGAGGATTGACAAGAGTTTAACTCCTTAGTGGTTTGTTCATCGTGGCAGGGCGCTGAGAGCCCTCGGGAGACGACTAGGCCGAAGCTTTTCCGCCATCTCCTTCATCCGACGCCGGCTCACGGTGAAACGACCACAAGTCCTGTTAAAGCTGTCGCCAAAGGGGCCCACAAAACAAGAGTAAATTATCACGACAGCAATGTATGAAACAAACCCATTTTTTTATGACGATTAAGGCACTGGAGAGCAAGAGCAGGCAGTGGTTAAAACAAAAATCTAGATTTTAAAGATTTATGGTGCTGTTAATCAGAGCAAAGGATGTTTGCATTTTAGTCAACTTAAAAAAAGAGCAAATGAGACATGGAAACCAAGTACATTTGTTAGTAATGATTAATAATTTGGATATATATAAACTCCCAGAAAACTAATTGTACGTGCTAATGAAATATAATAATTTTCATATAAAAATATTCACTGAAAAGTTAAATTTGCTCTTGTGCCAGTTTAACAAAAGCTGTATGTATACAGCAGTGGAATATTTAACACATGCTGACTGACTTCTTACTATAAATGTGCTAGCTTTGAATCATACATTATTTTCACATCAATACATTTCTTTAGAACCAGCGACACAGACAAGCCTTTACCTCTGTTAAGAAGCAAAGCATGCTTCTGCTTCACATTCTGGCTACTTCTTTTTGAGGGCTTTCTCCACTCCACTGAAGATCTTTTGTAGCTTCTCATCCGAGTCTACAAACCCATCGCCGTTCTGCAATGCAATATGTCGTTTAATTATACTGGTATACATGCATAATCAGAAGAATAGCTCAGTTGTATTCACTACTCAGAAAACGTGTCTGGACACACCAAGTTAAGCAGGTCTCAGAACATGTAAACACTGCCATAGGTAGTTTTGGCAAGCTGCAACGAATTTTTCTTTTCCTTCCAGCTATACACAACTGCCTCCATCAACAAAATGTCTAGTGTATTCTTGTAATTGTATATCTTAACCGCCAAAGCACATCTGAGACTGATGACGCTCAACATAATAGTGATCTACAGCACACACGTTAATATGTAAGATCACAGCAAGTCTATACACCTGTATGGGTGGATGTAGCTAACTGCTAATCGGAGGTGAGGCAAAAAGACATTGGATTTATGCAATCGTTTTTTTTACATGAATGCAATGTCATTCAGTTCCAATTCTGAACAGTTCATTATAAGTATTTTTCAATATGTTAATTTGTGGGTTAAGTGTGAGTAGCATAACATTTTAATATACATGGCAGTGTCATTTGTGGGTTTTTTCAGCAGAGGGTACTATTGTCACCCACAACAGAGCAGGGATAGGATTCCAACCCCTCAGTAATGGAACGTTGCCACCCTTACAGCCATACTACACACGTTAAAGTAGTCAATATGGACGGGAAGGTGAAAGCCTCTGACATAGCAAGAATATCCACCTGCATTTTAAATTTATAACTTTAAAACATTTCTTTAGAACTGCTTTTTTGCGTTTAGCGTGTCCTTCCGCCACACCTCCGATTAGTAGGGTTGGCTACATACGGTGTGAAATTAGTTCAACATACATACAAATCGGTGTGCAATGTTATGCTCCGAGCTGTGGCCAGTAAAGACACTCACGGCCTTGGAGTGGAGAAGTTTCCCTCCCACAATCTGCACCTCCAGGAAGCCAGTCTGCGTCGGGGTCCCCTCACCAGTCTGTTCCAACAGAGCAGTTTTCACGCAGTTATCCACCACCGATGTAATCTTTTGAAATCTAGATGCATACTGATGCCAATTTTAACATTATGCAATGCTACGATGTGATGTACTGTATTGATAGTATCCCTTGTAGTCTAATACTAGGTTACTACTTCAATCTATCAGAATAAAGCAATGTATTTCAGCATGCGAGTGACCAGACAAATCTGGAATAGATTTCCCTCATTATACGGAAGCTCAATACGCGGAATTTGGCAAAACGCAACTTAGAAATTAGGGGAATAATTCGATTTACTGTATGTGAAATTAACATTAACCGAATTTTTAATGTTTAAATTTATTTTTTTTGGAAGGAAAAATCGAACAATGCTGTCTCGTTTGTCCTAGCTTGCATTGCATGATGCCTCGGGTGGTCTTTTACACTGCTGGTTTCCGAGCATTTCAAGCCACCCAAGCTTGGCTAGTATTGGTTCGGTCCTTCAATAAGAGTTCAAATAAGGTCTATTTCAATCGAGGATCTCAAAGCATCGTATAAGACAGCAGCAAACACTCAGCATCAAAATACCTCATGAAACTAAAACGTAATAAAATAAATGCTAAATGAAATAATTACGTAAACAGAATTATATAAGTTTTAAGACGTGTTTTAAGAAATATCCACAGACTCCGAGATCCTAATAGCTCGTGAAAGAGAGTGTCAGAGTCTGTGGGCTACATGGGAAAAAGCTTGGTCACAAATAGATGGAAGCCTCGACCTGGTGATGCAGATATCTGCATCCTCATATCTTGGAGACCTTGAGACAAATGGACGTAGTGTGTCTCTAAGGTAGGCTGGGGAAAGGTGGTTCACTGCTTTGTAAGTTTGCAAAAAGGATTTTTAAAGGAATTCCATGGTAAACTGGATGCCGCTGCAGACGCCAACACAGGCGTAATGTGATCTAAATGTGTTGATCATGCCTGGTACAACGCTGTGCAGTACAGGACGAGGTGTGTACCACCACCTCACACAGTGATCACCACAGTGTGATTTTATTACGTCTTGGGGCCGAATTGTTTTCCACAGGAACTCATCTCCAATCATATAAATGGAAGTCAATGTGGAAATAAGGATCCAAATACACAATTTCGCTTTACGGACTTTTCAGCAACAAAGCTATTCCGTATAGAGAGAGGAGTGCCTATACGTGAAGAGTTGCATCATAAAAGTCTGTCAATTATAACAATTGTGCCATTGTCATACTGTTTCTATGGGAATAGTCTTTATACATATTTATTAGAGTATTGGTTGAATGTATCAAATCATTGCCATCTATGTAGGTAGGCAAGAGCTGACCGGGTCTTAAAAGTATATTTTGCAAGGTAAACCTGAAAGTGTAAGGCAATGAACTTGTATTGTGTGACGCTCAATATGTAAAATTAATTCTCCAAAATCTAATAAAGTCAGTCGTGCTACAATGCATGTTGAAATGTCATTAGTTTAACTCGACTACAGTATATAAAAATGTACAAATGGCACCATTATAAAATGTGTACGAAAACACAAACTACAAACGCTCTAACTCATACTCACTATCTCCAGCTCTCCAGGGAACTCGGTTTCAAGTTCATCCTTGAGGCGGTGAAACTGCAAAAAATAAAATACAGGTTCAGCATGCGATGACAAACAACAATAATTGATGTCAGTTGTGGCTTAAATGATCTGCCTCAACACACCGCATTGTGTTTCCCCCTTCACATGCAACAATGTGCTTGCGTAACTTGCAACTCTTGTATCAATTATGATGACAAGCGAATATGCAGCAATAATGTTCAGTGGTGGGGGGGGGGGCGATGGAGTGATGCATTCATTCAATCGATTAAGGCTCACGAAACCCCCATTTTTATCTAAGGATCTGATTCTGAATTTTGATTGAAAGCTTTCGTGACTGCAGTGATTCATATTCTTGGTTCTTTCGGTAAAGTCACGTTGAAGGGAAACAACAAAATAATAAAATATATATAAAATATAATTCTCACGAGGATTTGATAACCATTTCGGGTCTTAATTGATTGTTCACGCTTACGGTGGCTTTTAGACAGCATACATTAATTTTTCGTCTCCCCCTTACTCTTTATTGAACATAGACTAGTCCTTCTAAACAAACTGTCAAATCGCTATCCGTGGTGCTAACGTTAAAAATAAATAAATACAAACCGCCACTTATTTCAAATGTTTCTTGCCGTTGGTTTTCACACCTGATGATGACTGTGTTAGTCGAAACGTCGTGAGAATTTATTTTATATATTTTTTATTATTATGTTGCTTCCCTTCAACGTGACTTTACCGAAAGAACCAATATTATAGATCTGATTTTTGTCCGTGAAAACATGGTTAGATTTAAGTTAATGGAGTTTATAACATTGTACAAATTAGACGGAAAAACATGAAACAATACAAACGATTCGCAACAATCCAATCACTGTTGAGGAGTGGTGTTGTCCAGTAACATTAAGTCTAAACTGTGCGATTGTGCGAATTATAATAAATCATGAGTCAAGTTGAAATAAAAATGGGCCTACTTCCTTATAAGCCTACGTGATAAAGATTATCCAGTTTGCATTAAAAACAGGTCCATAATTGTTTTTTTTCCTTCGAGAGCCAATTCCAAGCACACAGCCTGTTTATGCCTCCAGGGTTATGCATTACACATCAAGGGGTAATTGTTGGCAAGACATGTTGGGATTTTTTAAATGTTTTTTTTTATTTGTCAAAACAGACGAGCACAAGAACCAGTTTAGATAACGTCCACAATGAGCACAAACAAGCATAATAATGGTTGCCCAAAGTTATGACCTTGGAAACAACACAATCATAGAATGTTAAACATAATTTTAACCGTCATCTCAGTCTATAATTTTCCCTTTGGAATATTTAAACGTTCCATGGTATATTGCTCGTATAAAATTATCGAACTTAAGTTCAATTTAGGAACGATGGGGCTGCTGGTCTGCTCGACTTTACCAACATTATTATTGTTATAGCTCAAACTCTTAAACGTAGAGTAGAAGCCAATATACTAAACACACACTTGGTAGCAAAGCAAGGTGTGCTTACATACAGAGTGTGCTTGTATCAGTATTTCCTCTACTGTATGGACTTAAAATGCCCACTGTGGACCAATAATAAAAAGCGTGGAATGTTTGTACAGGGGCAGTGCAGGTACACTCGTGGGCAGTCAAACACGCAGGTGCGTCACTGATATGACTTTGCATTTCTCAAAGAAGGTCGTGACCCCCCTGTGGACAGGTACACACAAGGTAGTGATACCCCCTGTGGTCAGGTACACAAAAGGTAGTGACCCCCCCTGTGGACAGGTACACACAAGGTAGTGATACCCCCTGTGGACAGGTACACACAAGGTAGTGATACCCCCTGTGGACAGGTACACACAAGGTAGTGATACCCCCTGTGGACAGGTACACACAAGGTAGTGATACCCCCTGTGGACAGGTACACACAAGGTAGTGATACCCCCTGTGGACAGGTACACACAAGGTAGTGATACCCCCTGTGGACAGGTACACACAAGGTAGTGATACCCCCTGTGGACAGGTACACACAAGGTAGTGATACCCCCTGTGGACAGGTACACACAAGGTAGTGATACCCCCTGTGGACAGGTACACACAAGGCTGAGCAGCGGGCCGGCAAGAGCAGTAAGCGTGGGGTAGTGGCTGCCAGCCACGCCACGTCACACTCCGATGTTGGGCGAATGTCATCATTATCTGGGCAAGGTGTCGTCTCGTTTTTAAATTCAACTGAACTATTTGGCATTGTCATCGATATGGGAAGGTGTGTCATTTACCCGACTTCGGTACCCTCAGGCGCCACTGTAACAACAACATTGGGTTAGTGACCTGTCAAAAATAACCAGTGTGTGACACATCAAATTGCAATGGTGCTTTTAAAAACGAATACAATTCACACAATGCTGTGTATCAACGTACATGTTATAATTTTTTTGTACACGTACACTTATTGTTGAATGGTTACAATACGACACAGGATACTGTGCAATTGTTATACTCTGTAATGTATAGCCACAAGCACCTACATGAAGTCATTGCGTGGTTTTCAATGGATTGTCGATATCGTCATACAATTACAATACTGTAGTGTACATACTTTATCTTACTTTAAATTCTCAATTGACTCCGAAACCTGCTTAAAACAAATACATCACGACTGACACAAGCAGATATCAGAATGATACTCTAAAAGTCTAAATACATATACACAATCACAAAATATAAATTTATGGACTTCACACAGCACATTCAGTCTAACAGAAAATAAATTCAGTTACATATACACACACATTTAAAACAAACCTCAATAGGAAGCTTTGTCCAACAAAACCCAGCCACACGACCATAAAAAAACACGACTCCTTAGACCAGGATGTTGTTGAGGGCATAAAGTATGCGGGTTTGCTACTTTGGTACTGTACCAAAATACCAACGAAATGTATCTCAAGGCCACGTGCAACACGACGAGATGACAGACCACGAGTGCCGCTTACCAATAAACGATGTGTATTTTGAGCGGCATAGCTGCTGTAGAGGTGGTTGAGGCCGAAACGTCTGTTCTGCACCGTCACTGCACCGCGTCTTCGGTTTTGTCTACACCGGGCCATTTATATGGAGACGCGGGCACAACCATTCCGTCACCCTTCAGAGGGGTAATGTGATAGACTGGATTTGTTCAATGATCTCAAGTACGGTTACAAACAAGGTGGATGAAAGTACATTTCAGTTAATTTAATTATAACAAATATTTTATACGACAAAACTGTGCTGTTTAGTGTCGCCTTAATGTATATCGATAATGCATGTCACAATTGACCCCTACTTTACGAATGATACTGCCCATTCTCGTGTTAACAAAGTGAATGCGTCCTTTCAGCATGGGCGTTGTGCAAGATACTGGACCCGGCCAAACACACGCCGATCTCGCAGATTTTAAATAGACGCATTTTTTTGTTACTTATATTTCCTAATCAAAGACTTGTCTATAGATACAAAATATATTATAAAAGATAGATATCAAATGTCACCATTAAATAAATACATCATGGATATTACCTCGATAGTGTCTTGCCGAGGTACGTAATAGTTGTAAAAATTAAATCTGAAAATATTCAACCCTTTGAAAATTCCATTGAAGCACAATGCGAACACAGCAGTTATCGATTATCCAGCGTCTTCGGGGGGCGCCGGATTAATAAACCCCGCAGGGTAATCACTACAGTATGTTATACATTAAGGCGACATTCTTGCATATCACGTTTCTAGGTGTTGCGTATGTCTGTTTTGTGTTTACAAAATGTTATTACGTGAAATAGGCACGAATAAACATAGACAAATGTCCAAATGAAACAAAAACTACTGTCTCATACTTTCCACGGCACTCAAAGTCTCTGCATGGGGCGATGATGCACGTCGTTCTGCTACGTTTTTTAAAAAATGTGACCTTTTTGCCAATATCAAAGTATTTAAAAAAAATACTGGCAAAAAGGTCCCTTGTAGCTGCTCACCCCGAGCTATAACTGCCCTGATGGTGCACTGCCTTTGCTTTTATTTGGTTCTTTCGGTAAAGTCACGTAGATAGAAAAAAATAAATAAAAGATTACGACGTTTCGATCGCAACACAAGCGGTCGTCCTCAGGCGGAAAAACAATAATTCAGCAGTACATCCACTGCTGGATGAGGGCCTAGCCACGCCGTTGTCGGTCACGGGGGTTGTTTGTTGACCATACTTCACGCTTGTCAGTGTGGGTTTGTGAAGCTGGCGTGGGTGGGCAGGTTCCAATCAGATGAGACTCACCATTGATGTTAGCCATGGCTGGGAATCGAATTTGGGTTCCCGGGTTCATAGTGCAGTGGTATGCCAACCCATTATTTAATCCATGTACATCACCAAAGCAATGGCATGTTGTACATGGCCACAGGGCTTTGGGAGTATGCACGATACGTGGGTTCAGTCCGGTTTACAAAGTATTTTCCCGTTACTGCCCTCTGCCCATTGTTTTTGTTTAACTCTCTTTCGTTTGTGGAGAGACAGAAAAATCAGTATCATCCGATTACTAAATGTGTTACTTCTATTCTCCATAAGGACGCGAGAGATGAGCGTGTGCTACGTGTTGTTACGCAAGATTTGCGTCCAACTTAAAACCCAACAGCCAGCAGCATCAGCATCACCAAATCAATTAATCCGTCACTTCTGGCTCTTGTGCCACCAGGAATTTGGTTAGACGAACTTACGAACAGATACAGATCTTCGTGAAGCCGTGGCAAGTGGTAAGGGAAATAATACATAAATACAAATACGGAGGGAAAATAAAAGGTTACACATCGAAGAAGACCTGATGATGCAGACAGTGATGAGAAGGAAACTGGCACCATCTGGACAAATGTGTAGGATGGTGAACAACAGGAATATTAAAAGTGTCTTGTTCGGAAAAATGTAAGGACCCGTAGAGGACGACCTTACAGAGAATGGCTTGAAGATGACATAAGAGATTGTTTCTAGATTTGAAGTTTTCGTGACTGCAAGGATCCATACTCTTTGGTTCTATTCGGTAAAGTCACGTAGGTGAAAAATAGGAAGAAAATAGGAAGATGCCAGGAAGATGTACAAACTGCTTGAGCAAATTGTCACTACGATAGAGAGGAACGTGGAAACAAATGACGAACTGTGCAGTGGACATCTGCGGACTGTCTGCCCCCATGGATCGTGATGACAGAAAAAAAACAGGGAAGAGCTCTACCGGAAGATGCAGACCCGCACGTGGTGCCAGCTGGTGGTGGTGTGTGTGTTTGCAGCTGGTGGTGGTTGTGTGTGTGCAGCTGCTGCTGCACACAAAGCGAAGGGGAGAGAGGAACCCCCCATCCCACCACTCATTCTCGCCATTTTACCTGGGTCGCCTCTCAAATTACCAGCTTGAGTTGTTACTGCACTCATCGTTATTCGTCGGCGGTAAGAGGAGGTTGTCTCAACGTTGGTAAGAGGAGGTTGTCTCAACGTCGGTAAGAGGAGGTTGTCTCAACGTTGGTAAGAGGAGGTTGTCTCAACGTTGTTAAGAGGAGGTTGTCTCAACGTTGGTAAGAGGAGGTTGTTTCAGCGTTGGTAAGAGGAGGTTGTCTCAACGTTGGTAAGAGGAGGTTGTCTCAGTGTTGGTAAGAGGAGGTTGTCTCAACGTTGGTAAGAGGAGGTTGTCTCAACGTTGGTAAGAGGAGGTTGTCTCAACGTTGGTAAGAGGAGGTTGTCTCAGCGTTGGTAAGAGGAGGTTGTTCGAGCGTTGGTAAGAGGAGGTTGTCTCAGCGTTGTTAAGAGGAGGTTGTCTCAACGTTGGTAAGAGGAGGTTGTTTCAGCGTTGGTAAGAGGAGGTTGTCTCAACGTTGGTAAGAGGAGGTTGTCTCAGCGTTGGTAAGGGGAGGTTGTCTCAACGTTGGTAAGAGGAGGTTGTCTCAACGTTGGGAAGAGGAGGTTGTCTCAACGTTGGGAAGAGGAGGTTGTTTCAGCGTTGGTAAGAGGAGGTTGTCTCAACGTTGGGAAGAGGAGGTTGTTTCAGCGTTGGTAAGAGGAGGTTGTCTCAACGTTGGTAAGAGGAGGTTGTCTCAGCGTTGGTAAGAGGAGGTTGTTTCAGCGTTGGTAAGAGGAGGTTGTTTCAACGTTGGTAAGAGGAGGTTGTTTCAACGTTGGTAAGAGGAGGTTGTCTCAGCGTTGGTAAGAGGAGGTTGTCTCAGCGTTGGTAAGAGGAGGTTGTTTCAACGTTGGTAAGAGGAGGTTGTTTCAACGTCGGTTAGAGGAGGTTGTCTCAACGTTGGTAAGAGGAGGTTGTTTCAACGTTGGTAAGAGGAGGTTGTTTCAACGTCGGTAAGAGGAGGTTGTTTCAACGTTGGTAAGAGGAGGTTGTTTCAACGTTGGTAAGAGGAGGTTGTCTCAACGTTGGTAAGAGGAGGTTGTTTCAACATTGGAGACGTATGGAGGAGGGCTGTAGTCGTGGGATCAGGCGGTGGTTATTTAAATCGCGCACGTGCGTTCGTGTTAGGTGGGGGGTAGGGGCGTTGTGAGGCTCGTTGGCGATGCAGCTGTCACAATCATCAATCGTCATCCTTCTCGAATTATCTCTGGGTTAATTGTGTCATCGTGATCATCAACTCGTTCCGCGTTGATTGTCCTCTGGATAGACCCGCCTCACTGACAACACGAGTGAGTACAGTACAACACTACCCCGTGTAGTGCTGTGCGCAGTACTCGGATAAGGGGCCGTCCATAAATGACGTCACGCGATTTTGGACGATTTTTGACCCCCCCCCCTCGTCACACAACGTCACAAAAAGTCAGACCCCCCTCAAATATGACGTCACAAAGCTCGCCTCCCCCCCCCACAAAACCATTTTCCATTTTGAAAATAAAACACGCTTCAAATCGCTTTAAACTATTGTCATTGTAGTGCGTATTTAATATGGCGGTGCACTCTGATGTTGTAGGAGAAAACATTTATTAAAAAGACTATTTAATGAAGTAGAACGTGTTGTCTCTATTAAAAGTTGCGCATTTTGATGTGACGTCACATTTCTCAAACACCCCCCCCCCCCTCGTCACACAACGTCACAAATGTCTGACCCCCCCCCCCCCCAGGTGCGTGACGTCATTTATGGACGGTCCCTAAGACGACTGACTGCGCAGGTACCGGGACACGTTGCGAGGTGTGATGAGAGCGCGTTGTGGGGAATGGAGGGTTGACCCGGAACTTCCCGGGTTGATAAAATCAGTACCACTTTGTGGGAAGGAAGCCTTGTCCCCCGCCATAGGAACGTGGAGTTTACACCACTGGGTTAGGGCTGCGAGATGAGCACCACCGAACGAACGGACACGTGGCAAATCGCGGATTTGTTTTGACTTTAGCCGGACGCCGCTTCGTGAACACGCGGGTGACAGTGATGGTGACAGTGATGGTGACTGTGATGGTGACAGTGATGGTGACAGTGATGGTGACAGTGTTGGTGACTGTGATGGTGACAGTGATGGTGACTGTGATGGTGACTGTGATGGTGACAGTGATGGTGACAGTGATGGTGACTGTGATGGTGACAGTGTTGGTGACTGTGATGGTGACAGTGATGGTGACTGTGATGGTGACAGTGATGGTGACAGTGATGGTGACTGTGATGGTGACAGTGATGGTAACAGTGATAGTGACTGTGATGGTGACAGTGATGGTGACTGTGATGGTGACTGTGATGGTGACAGTGATGGTGACTGTGATGGTGACAGTGTTGGTGACTGTGATGGTGACAGTGATGGTGACTGTGATGGTGACTGTGATGGTGACAGTGATGGTGACTGTGATGGTGACAGTGATGGTGACAGTGATGGTGACTGTGATGGTGACAGTGTTGGTGACTGTGATGGTGACAGTGATGGTGACTGTGATGGTGACTGTGATGGTGACTCTGATGGTGACAGTGATGGTGACAGTGATGGTGACTGTGATGGTGACTGTGATGGTGACTCTGATGGTGACAGTGATGGTGACAGTGATGGTGACTGTGATGGTGACAGTGATGGTGACTGTGATGCGAGGAAAGTGCATTCCAGATTCTCTCGTGGTTGGTCGAATGCAAGCGGAGCCTCGCGTGCGATGGCATGGAGGAGGCCGTGATGGCTGGGAGGAGGCCGTGATACACTCACTCACCTTACACTGACTCACTCACTCATCTTACACTGACTCACTCACACATCATACACTGACTCACTCATCATACACTGACTCACTCACACATCATACACGGACTCACTCATCATACGCTGACTCACTCACACATCATACACTCACACAACCACTGACCCATTCACTCATCATACAATGATTCACTCGTCATACACTCACTCATAATACGTTGACTCACTCACACATCATACACTCACTCACACTACCACTGACTCACACATCATACATTCACTACCATTGACTCACTCATCATACGCTGACTCACACATACACTCACTACCATTGACTCACTCACACATCATACACGGGGAGTGTCATGCTGACAGATATGGCTGCAAGTTTGTTCGTACATGTTATGTATATCGTTTATTGTTAAATTTGAATCAAAGTTCCTATGATTACTGTTGTTACATTGTATTTTATAGCTTTATTTTGGTGATTTCTAAAACATATGGTTAAGCCATGTTTCTTGCGGAAGTGGAAAGTTGGCCTGATAACTTTAATCTAAATTGTCTTATGGTTGTTATTGTTTGTCATGCATCACACTGGGATTTTTGTACACAGCGTTGTAATACGGTGGTTTTTTTCTGGAAGATTTGCTGGTTTATCCAGGATGTTTCTGTTGCGCGTCGTCCCTTTAAGATGTTTATCTGTTCATATTTTGTTTGTTGCGGTTGCACCCGACTCAAGGGCCGCGTGGCTCACAGGGCTATACCTAATAAATGAAAACTTGAAACTGTGACGCGCCTGCCACGCGTTGTCGCTTCTTCACGCGCCGCCGCCGCCACCGTCGAGTCGTCTCGATCGTCGTGCCCCTGAGTCCCTGCCTCGTCCATCTGGTTCTCGCGTGCAGGCCGTAACCCGTCGCGATATTTGAGACCACCGTCCACTCTGGAGCGTGCCGTACCGCGACCCTATTGAGTTGTTGCGATGCCAGCGCCGTGTGTTCCGGAACGGTCCTCATTCTAGCACCAAATCATCAATCTCCTCCACGTCGCTTTTCTTCTTACAGAACCATCGCGTGGTCGTGTTCCAGAATTCCACTGCGACTGTTCCTTTGCTTCTTGAACACCACTTGCTGTACTTGTGCTCCACGTTTCATATTTTGTTGGCGCACACTCGAGAAGGTTTTCTTTGCGAGATTCCACGCTCGTAATGTGGTGTCCCACGTGTCCTTATGTTCCACAGCTGTGTGCCACGTGTTCGCATGCCGGAAGGTATTTCGTTAGCCCAAGCTTGGCCACATTATACCCATTAGTATCATTAACAATACTACATTCATAAATACCTCACTAAAATAATCGGGTAAAATTTTAGAAAGTATAGTTTTATTTCAAAGCCTTCACATGTCTCTCAACGACATATATACATCATTAGACCTCCTTTGCCAGTACCAAAATGTAATAATGGGGTTTTTCCCCTTTTTTCTGGCAACAAAACTGAAACCTTTTTACAAGGATTCATGTCTGCATTAACCACAATACCTGCAGTCAAAATGCAAACAAAAAACATACTCATATTCTTAGTTCTTTCGGTAAAGTCACGTTGAAGGGAAACAATAAAATAATGAAATATATATTAAACAATAAAAATTCTCACGACGTTTCGACCATAATACAAACGGTCGTGAGAATTTTTATTGTTTTATATATATTTTATTATTTTATTGTTTCCCTTCAACGTGACTTTACCGAAAGAACTAAGAATATGAATTACTGCAGTCACGAAAGCTTTAAATAAAAAAAAAACATACTATGATAATATATGCATTGTCCTTGAAACTGATTGGTCCACACCAAGAAAGCCAGAAAAAAGGGGAAAACCCCTATTATGACCTCTATACACTTGTA